TGATGTGCTGTTCCAGTCGTTTTTGGATAATCTTCAGTAGAATCTTGCTTGCATGTGAAATCAATGATATTGTTCTGTAGTTTCCACACTCAGTTGGGTCCCCCTTCTTTGGAATGGGAACAAATATAGATCTCTTCCAGTCAGTTGGCCAAGTGGTTGTTCTCTAAATTTCATGGCACATACCATATAATATTGTAAAGACTATGGTCTGGATCAGGCACACTTTAGTCTCCAGACTCACATGGTTGCTCTTCAGTATTCTGGACATGTCCCTAACAGCAGACCTTTCCCAATGAAATGTGTCTTTTTATTTCCTGGCTGCTGGTTCCGAGAGTGTTGATTGTGGAGCCAAGCAAATTGAAGCTGTTAACACTTTCAATGTCTTCTCCATCTGTCATAATATTGCCAACTGGCCCAGTGGTGAGAATATTTGTTTTCTTGAGCTTCAATCCATATTTAAATCTGCAGTCTTTTATCTACTGCAGCAAGCACTTCAGGTCCTTCTCAGTTTCAGCAAGCAGGGTTGTGCTATCTGCATAGTGTAGGTTGTTGATAACTTTTCCTCCAATCTTGATGCCACATTCTTCTTCATAGTGCCCGGCCTTCCCAGATCATCTGTTTTTCATATAGATTGAAGAGTTATGGAGATAGGACACATCGATTTCCAATTTTGAACCCTGCAGTATTTCCTTGCTCTGTTTTGACAGCTCCCTCCAAGCATAGGATTCACATAAGTACAAGCATGTGTTCCAGTATTCCCGTTCTTCTCGGACTTAGCCACAGTTGTTGTGATTCACACAGTCAAATTCCTTTGTATGGCCAATGAAACACAGACAGATATTCCTCTGGTACTCTCTGTATTCAACCAAAATTCATCTAACATTAGCTATAATATCCCTAGTACATCAGCCTCTTCTAAACCCAGCCTATACTTCTGACAGTTCTCTTTTGATATGCTCTTCCAATAGTTTTTGGATCATTTTTAGCAGACTCTTGCTTGCATGTGATATTAATGATATTGTTTTATAATTTCTGCATTCTGTTGAGTCTGTCGGTGTTATAATTTCATACACAATATAAGAAGAGAGAACTGTAGATTTTGATTAAGAATGATTTGTTGACATGACATTTGAGTCAGGAAATTTTTGTGGTCAGCCTTTTGTCATATATAATGGGATGAGAAGAGTGTGGGAAAGAGATGGAGCAAGAAACACCCAAGTGGGTTTCATAAGATTATGGTTGAATCAATGCTTAACTATTTTTTCAGTTATACATCATTAAGCCACTCATATACATTCTATTCCGTAATAATAATTAAAACTTTATAATGTCAATATTTAAAATATATTGAAAAGCTGCTCTGTAGTCCCAAGACATCAGATTCTAATCCACAAGCTGCTCAATGGGAGAAAAGTTAGCAATCTCCTCCCGTGCAATTTACTGCCTCTGAAAAATGGCTAGAACATCAGCTATGGACAGGTTGCAATTAGATAGCAAACAATTACAGCAATCAAGCTATTTTTAAATTAATGAGAATATATATTTGAGATAAACCTAGAAATTTCTGGGTCAGTAGATAGAATAATGTGGATGTTACAGAGTCGTTACCACTAATGAGCAGGTTAGCATTAATGACCTTTAACTTCCTTCAGTGGACAAATTCTCTTCTCCTGAATACCTCAGTTGGTAGCCAGCTAGACTTTTAATCTGAAGGTGTAGGGTTCATGTTCCTGTTCAACTACCCTCCTGCTTTGGAGCTCTAAAAGCATGTTGAATTACATTTTGCATTGTTAACCAAGAGATCACCTGTTCAGATCCACAAGATGTGCACCAAAAGAGAACCATGGGAGATTTAATGTAATAAAGATTTGTAACCTCAGAAACCTGACAGTGAATCCTTGTAAATTAAAGAAGTTGCACTGTTAACTCAGAACATGCAGTTGGAATCTACCAGCTGTTCCACGAAAGATAGTAATCTCCTCCCATGTGGTTCACTGCCTCTGAAAACCCACTGCAGGGTTAGTTATGAGTTAGTTCTGACTCCATGGTACAAAATATCACCACAATAACAACTACCAGTGGCTTTGTTTTTTCATTTTAAGTGCCTTTGCAGTTTACTGAATCAATTATTAAAATGTATTAATTTGGTTTATTTTTTATTTTGCATGTTTTTTTTTTGTTGTTGCTTGGTTGGTTGGTGTTAATCTTGGTAAATGTTGTATTAAAAAATTGAGAGTTTATTTAAAGAGATCTTAGGTAATTAGGAGTCGTTTGTAATATTCCATTAAGAATGTCATAGCGGGGGGGAAGGGTGGGCAGGGAGAAAAGTGCAACACTGAATGAATGGAAATCCAAAGTCTCTGTAAATTTTCGCTAAAAGTAATAATGATAATTTTAAAAAATCCTACTTTCCCAGAAAAAAAAGTCATAGTAAATTTCAAACCCAGAAAAGAAGACTCTAACATATCAGAATTTCAAGTATGCAGGTGATATTTCTTATTTTTATGCAGAAAATATCAGTAGTTAAACAAACCCAATTTTCTTGAAGTATTTTCAGAAGTAAGTATGTTTTATTCTTGTAATGTTCTCCATTATGACTTCCTTTGATGTTTCTAGTACTGTTTTTACCACAGAATGTTGAACACAATTATTGGACAGTATTACACCAAATCACTTGTAGGTGGTTGACCTTTTTATTATGAACTAATATATGATTGTCTTACGTTGAAGAGCCAATTTATTACAACTAGGGAAGAAAATCAAAGTATAAGTCAGATAAAACTATTTAAAGGTATCTTTTCTGGGATATGTGAAAAGAAAGTTATAGTCTTGGCTAGTCCATAAAATTTTAAAAATTTCTTTCCATGACGTGTGAATAAATATATACTTCTTTGGGTTAAAAAAATTGAAGAGTATCTATTACACACACTCATAAACAAAATCTGAGGTATAATACTTCTACTGTACTATTATGCTAATATTGAACTATTTCATATTGCATTTAGAATGAATAAAATATATAAAAGCTCTATAGCCAATATTGTTATAGTAATTACCCATATATACCTGATAACAAAAAAATAATCTAATTCCTTTATGAAGATAAAGTTGTTTTAATCAGTCTTTCTCCTTAATACTACACACACATACACACATAGAGAGGCAATTTTAGAGATAATAGCATACTAAAATATAATTTGCTTAAGATCTAAATGTGAAAAAATGTAAATGCTGCTTTTAACAAGCCATGTTAAAAAAGAAATAATGTATTAAGAGAGAAATTTAACTGATATATAGATTGATTCCATTACATTTAAAAATGTTTTATCATCAAAAAATTTGCTGCCATTTGCTCATCTTTCCTGTAACATATTTTAGGAAGTTATTGACGAGCAGAAAGAATAAATCAAGGGAGATAACATATAACCGTATTTGCCCAAGTCTTGGTAATATTGGGAAAACATTCTATGAGGATGAGATATTGGGATTTAAATATGTGGTAATTTTCCCCTTCTAGCTGTGAATACAAAGCTGCACTACTAATATAGAGGCAGATCGGTTCAAATCCACTACCTGATCATTGGGGGAAGATGGGCAGTTTCTTACAGTAAGGTTAAAGGCTTCTGAAAACTAGATGGGACTTCAGCTATGAGTTTAATCCAACTTAACCACATGAGTTGTAGTTCTTGTTTGTTTAGTTTTTAGCTGGGCACATTAGGAGCATTAACACTGTGGTTAAAACAATAGATTGTGAAAAGTAAGACATTTAGTTTCAGGAGAGAAAGTGCACTTTAGGTTCATGTTGGGGGTAAGGGTAAAGAGAAGGGACTAAAACTTTCCTGGGCATAGGTCCCTCCATTTGTTTTGTTTTGAGCTGGGCACATTAGGAGCATTAACACTGTGGTTA